GTTCTACTAAAATCAGGAAAGAGACAAAATTGTCCACTCCCCCCTCTCTATTAACATGTACTGAAGTCTTAGCTAGAGCAAAAAGACAAGTAAAAGGCAGCAAGGGGATGCAAATGAGAGGAAGAATCAGAGTCTCCCTACTTGCAGATGATATGACTCTCTTTACAGTTTAGCTGAGAAGTCAGGGGTTATTATTCTGACAGGTCTGCCTTTGTGACTTGGCGTTTCTCATTTGCAGCTTTCAGTAAACCTCCTTTGTTCTGTACACTTAGTGTCTCAACTGTAGAAATGTTTCTTTTCTAGTCCTGTTTGGTACTTTGTAGATGTCTTATACCTGAATGAGTGTCTATCCCTCTCAATTTGAGATTGAGTGCTCTATTCTGTCTTCATACGCCTATAGTCTATCTTCTACATGATCATCCTATTGGTGAAAGATTTGCAGACGATTTTATTTGATCTAGTGCGTTTTTCATTTCCATCACTATTTTGGCTTGAGTTTTCTTAGGTATTAAATTCTATTTTCATATCATGTATTGATTGCCTCATTTCGTTCAGCTATCCATGTTCAATTGGAAAGTATTTGAGTCCTATTTGAGATATTTTTACATATGTATAATTACTGTTTTGAATTCTGCACCTGGAGTTTTGTCCAACTCATTTTGACCAGGGGTCATTTGTATGGGGTTGGTTATTTTTTGAGCGCGATAAGCTGTTTTGGGTTTTCATGTTACTTGGATTTTTGCACTGGGATCAGCCTTTTGGGGGTTACATTGTTGGTTACGATTTACTGTTTTTTTATTTGGTTGCCTCTTGTCTTCCAGTGAGTTCATTTGCAATACTCAGGAGAAACTAGGTTGTTGCTGTTGTGGGATGTTTTCATCGGTTAGAGTAGTGTTCCAGGCGTCATACTCTATCTCCAGTCTGAGGGTTGACTACTATCTGATGCACCAATTACCACCCAGTAGTTAAAGCAGTCTGATAATGGAGTAGAACGTGACTACAAAGAAGACACTTATTAAGTACTGATTACTTTAGGGAATAAAGGAACCTCACAGTATACTGTGTATACTGATATGTTAGTATGAGCAGAATGGAAAAGAAAAGGAGGAGAGGTGAATAATCCCATTGGGTCTAGTGATGAGTATTCTCTTGTTACACTGGAAGTAGAGGAAGGGGCATCCATCGGAGTTGAAATATTTGGAACAAAGAAAAAATGAGGTTAATATTTGGGAGTTCTGATTAATGGCAGCCTAAAAAGAGGCAGTAAGGATGTGTATCCCAATGCCATAAACAGGGTCAGCCTCTGGGCTTTAGGAGATGTAATCCTAAGGAATGGATATGGGGGAAAAGGAAAAAAGAAAAAGAGCGTGTAAAACAGCGAAAGGTGTGAACAGTAGGGGACAGTGTTGGCCTGCTAGAATGCCTACTGCGACAGATAAAAACTAGCCGGAGAAGAGGGAGGAGAGTTGGATGGAGGTCCTGAATGTTTTCACAGCCACTGCTTTTTCTCCCTGGTTCTGGCCCTGGTCATGTTCTGGGTTGATTTTTTTTTACCAGTTCAGTTCTTCCCTGGTGGGCTCCCAGATCGTCTTGTATGTAGACTTTCCTTGCCTCTGTTCTGTGGACTGTGAGTAGCTAAGGCAAACTCCGTCTAGCCACACTCGCTGCCTTCACACAAAGTCAGAAGCAGCTGCTGGCTGAGTGATGCCTACAGCACCGGTTAGAGCTTCGCTTAGCTCCCATGGCTTCACCTTTTCCTATTGGGGCACTGATGGTGGCCCTGGCAGCTGTCACTGAGAAGCCCTTCTGTGAAATGCCTACCAACACCACTTTTGTGGATATCCTGGTAGGGTTTGTTTAGCCTGTTTTACGTGGAGTAAAATGTCCACACGGTGGTGGCAGCTGCACTGGTTGTAATCGCAGCAAGTCCAAGTCACTAGTGGAGATATTCTGTCGGTCCCGTGGTTATTTGAGTTTTGTTGGGGTTCCGATCAAGTAGACACTAGGACTGGAGGAGAAGCTGACTGATGAAATGATAACATATTTCGATGCTTTTAATTCCCAATTGTGATAAGCTGCACACGATTCTCATCCACCATCTTACCCGGAAGTCCTGCTTTCTGATTGCTTTCATTTCCAGCATGATTTCAGTGTGGCTTTTATTCACTAATTTTATGTCTTTTTTAAATTCTATTTTTATGTCTTGTACTGACTTTTTATTTTATGCATCACTCTTGTGACGCATATCCTTGTCTTCTTTGAGATGTGTAGACTCACTTATAGTCAGTCATTCTTTCCAGTTGTTTCTCTGGAAATTCTTCTCAGTTCCACTGGGGTCCAGTAGTATGGGATGAGTTATTTTTGTGGAGATATGTTTTCTTGGATTGTCACATTATTTTTATATTTCTGCACTGAGACTTGAGCACCTGAAGTTAGTCCATTGAATTAGAAGTATGGGCTGGGAGGCTGATACTCCAGAGATTGCCTACATTTTAAGCCTAAGAGTTAAGGGATCCACAGAAGTGTGGCTGGGGCTCTCTGGGGACTCCTTACCTGTGGGCTTCAGAAACTAGTGGATGACAGAAGTTTCTTCTGGGGGCTTGGGGTCCTAGGTCCTGTCAACACAGAGCTCAGGGAATAGCCAAATTCTCAGGACCCAGGGACTGATGCCTTACCTGTCAGTGCCTGGAAAGGCAGAAGTTTGGATCTGGTATCTACTGTCTTATAAGCCAAGCAACACACCTCCTCCAAAATATTTGGGTAATTTGTTCTTCCTAGTACTCTTAGGAGCAAAGATTCTTGGCCCATCCACCACACTCTCATCTGAGAAGGACTAATCCCAAAAAGACATTTTCTTGTATCGTTGTATTTATATTGTATTAGGTAACCCCTGAACTAGAGCTGATTGACCCAATGTGAAAACATTAACCAAGTAAATTCTCTTTTATACCTATCACTAAGAATTGTTAGTAAACCTGTTTCAAGTCCATCACTTGGGAAGTGGGGTGAAATGGGGCTCAAGTGGGAACTGGATCTATTTCATCATATGTACAGGGAAAATGAATGAAAGAAAGAAAGAAAGAAAGATGGATGTGTAGTTGGAGAGAGGACAGGGAAGGCAGGATATGTTTCAAAAGTGAGACAGAAGGAGGGGGAAGATGAATGTTGATGCTATTGTAAAAGATAAGGGCTCTAGGTCTCATGGTTTCTATCACATATGCTGTCTACCTCGCTTTTCCAGGTTCCTGTGCCCAACAGTGGAAGACTTTGTGATTGATATTGTAAAGGCCTGGGAACAAATCAAACAGAACAACACAGCAGTGGAGTCTGTGATTTTGAAAGTAAGTTTCCTGTCCTAGTGTCTCACCTCTGTGGGAGCCAGGACTCACTTTTTCAAGTAAAACAATGGGAAATCATCAAGTATTGGCAAAGGCGAGTAGCTGGTACATCTGCGTGATGAGGAAAGCCCAATCTCCTTCCTTCATCTTTGCCAAATGAAGACTGATACTTTGCATGCATACACACACGCCATCTACCTAGGTATAGCCAAGAATCTGACCATAAATAGACACAAGTGTACATTAAGCATCAGTGAATGGAGTTAATATACCAAAGCATGCACAAAAATCTGTGCATTTAAACCCCCAAAGGGTGGCAATGAAACTCAGTTAGTAGATGCTAGTTATCACATATGTATAAGGCCACAGGTTCGAGCCCCAGCATATATGCATACGCTAGAAATACGCCAGGCTTGGGATATGGCTCAACAGCTAAAGTACTTCCTGTGGAAACGTGAAAGCTGGGGTTTGGATCCCCAGTAAGGGTGAACATAATAATTACAGCACTAGAAAGTAGAGACAGGGACCCCAAGAACAATCTGGCTGGAGACAATGAATATCAGGGAGTTGGCAGTTGGATACAGAGATCTTGCTCAATGAATCTGGTAGAAGAATGATTTGAGGATAATCCTGACAGCGACCTCAGGGCTCCACTCTCCCCCCACACACGAACACTCACTCACTCACATACATGAACATGCACACCACGCACACATTTAAAAATGGAAAACACACACCTCCTGTAATAGTACCTAACACGTGGCACACACTTTGTGTCAGAGCTTGCTCTGAGTGCCCTAATGTACCATGTTATTTAATTCTCACAGCTGACCTAAGGCATGGAGGGACAAGGAGGTCAAGGAACTTGTCTCACACCACAAACTACTAAAGCAGCTACTCTCAACCTGTGGGTCACGACCCCTTTGGGGAGTTCAGCAACCCTTTCACAGGGGCCACATATCAGCCGTCCTGCATATCAGATCTTTACATTGTGATTCATAACAGTAGGAAAACTATAGTTATGAAGTAACAGCGAGATAACTTTATGGTTGGGGGGGGGCCAGCAGGAGGAACTGTATTAAAGAGTCGCAGCTAAGTTAAGCTTAAATCACGTCCCAAATGCACGTCCTTGAAATATGTACGTGTGAGGATAGACACAGACGCTATGCAGAGGTACACCAGCATCCATAGGAGCATGCCTATGAATATGCCTACATGAAGATGTGTCTATTTCGTCATTTTATCCATGTTCCACATAAATTAAAGGGCCAGCCCGACATGAGAAAGGCTGTGTGAAACATGCATAGGTACCCAAAGCTGCTCAGAAACAAAGACTTGATGCTTACTCCCCTAATCCTCTTTGGGTGTTGGTACAGCGTGGACTTCATCACCTCACATATGGATTTCTAGGTTGAGTGTTTCTGGCCTAGTACTCCTGGCCAGCCTTCCCCTTACCATCACTGTTCCTCATTCTGGCCTTCGTAACAATATCCCATTTTTTTCTCCGCTCCGTAGAGTGACTTGATGTATGATAAACTCAGCACCATTATTGATATCCTGACTGAGGATGAGGAATTTGCCTCTGTGGAGCGACTAGCCTCAACATACAGAACCCGTGAGAAAACAGATCCAGAGCCCTTCGTCCCTCAACTAGACCACGTCATGAGGTCCAAGCTGGAGATGGTTGTAAAGGCTCACGACCTCCAGAAATCCTTGAAGCTCATCATATTCCAGGTGGAACAAGGTAAGATTCTTAGCGCTATTGGGACCAGGAAAGATGGGGAAAGTGCAGGTTTCGCCTATGAATGGTTTAATGATCTTCTTTAGTCTGGGTTTGCCAACTGGTCTCACTGACAGCACTTATCCGGATTCGATGTTCAGGTTGCCTTCCAAACCAGTCCTCTGGCTGCTGATTTGAAAAGCCTCCGTATAGATAATACTGTCTCTTTGACTTCTCCTTCTCTAGCCTTAGGTACCCATACTTACCTATTTTGGGAGCTGACACTCATCCTTAACAGCTACACATGATGTAAGGAACACCGCTGAAAGCTCTGTCAGCCTCACTTCTGGCCATGGAAGCTTTTCTATCTTTTCCTGCCATTTCAGCCGCCAAGGCTAATCAGCAGCCTGTGGCTGTTTGAAAAGCAAATAGTGTGCATGTTTACATGTCCTGCACCATGTAATCAGACCATGAGATTGGTCCCACTGGCTTGCCAGTAATTGCCATTGCCCAGAATTCTTGACACTCTCCAAACTTGCAGCTTAGGATGAAGTTCTAAACTCGCCCAACGTCCTCATCTAGCATTTTTGATGGACACTTTATCTCCATAATGCTCCTTTGGAAAATAAATAAAGAAGATGCTGTGAGATAAATTATGTTCTAACTGAGCTGTTAGAATTAAGCGGAAGTCCCCCCAGAACACGGAATTCTTTCCTGCTAGCCTTTGGTGTTTATCTGTGGCACTCTCCCCTGCCTTGGTACCTTTAGAAGAAACCTTAGCTATGTTTCTAAGAATAGACAGCTCCCCTTGGAGCGGCGGGCTGTGTCCCACCGCCCGGCTAGCTTTACCCGAAATAATTACACGGAAACTGTATTCTTTTAAACACTGCCTGACCCATTAGTTTCAGTTTCTTATTGGCTAGCTTTTACATATTGATCTAACCCATTTCTATTAATCTGTGTAGCCCACGAGCTGGCTTACCAGGAATGATCTTAACCTGCGTCTGTCTGGAGTGGGAGAATCATGGCGACTCCCTGACTCAGCTTCTTTCTCCCAACATTCCGTTCTGTTTACTCCGCCTACCTAAGGGTTGGCCTATCAAATGGGTCTAGGCAGTTTCTTTATTAATAAGAAATCACTCCCACATCATTTCCCCTTTTTCTGTTTAAACAAAAAAGAAAGGCTTTAACTTTAACATAGTAAAATTACATATAGCAAAACAGTTGTCAAGCAAGAATTACAGTTACAATATTTTTATCTATTTTATCTTTTATCATAACTAAGGAAAACTATAACTATCTATTTATTCTTTAACTCCATCAAAGACTCCAGAAGGATATAATACTACCTAAGTAAACAAGAAATAAGAAAACTCTAGAAATGACAGAGACATCTTGCTGCCTGGACAGTCACCCAAAGTTCTTTTGTATGGTTGGGGCATCCATCTTCAGCCTTCAGGCCCATAGTATCCAGCAGACATTTCCATGAAGCAGGAAATTTCAAAGACAGTTTAGTCACTATCTGCTGTGTCCTGCAGAATGTCTCGCAGACTCTTTCATGAGTCATGAACCCCAAAAGACTGTCTCACCTTTAGACAAGTTCAGCAGTCCTCTCTCTGTGGGTTCTCTGTGTCCATTTTATGCAACAGTCCAGGCAAGAGCAGTTTCTTGCCCAAATGGCTATCCAACTCCATAAGGATCCTCTTCGATGCCCATCTTCCTCTCGAAGTAGATTGGTGCCACCAGGAGCAGATATGTCTCATTGTCATGAAAAGTCCTAAGTTATTAAAACATTAAATGCCATATTTTGCAGTCTTTGAAAGATATGAAGAATGTCTATCTAACTGAAATGTATCTCTATATATCTAGAAAATCTAACTAACATGACTACAAGATTGACTATTATTGATGATTAACCATTAACCTATATTTCTTAATTATACATTACATTTTTAAATGAACTACACAATCACAATACCTTAATCAAGATCAGAAATACATATACATATAACAAAATTGACTGTAAAATCCACACCAATGCAAATTACTCATACCTATATCATTTCCCCCTTTAAATGTAAAAGAACATTTACAAACAATATTTTGGGAACATGGGCGCAGTTTTTTCTCTCCAAACTGCTTCCTGCTGAATGGGGGCGCTGTTAATCAGATCATTTAGGGTGTAACCTGTGTGTCAGGTTTATCTCAGTTGCCAGTTGAGTGAAGTAATTTTTTGAGGGTGTTCACAGGAACTTTTCGGGAGGTCGTGGTCTATCATACCATATCGGGATAGATGCAATCCATAGGGTCTGGTCTTCTGTGAAAACAAAAGAAGACCCTTTTCAAAGCATCATATCCTTAGACCCAAATTCTGATGTCATACCCTCATGATATCCGTTTTGGTTCCACTTGGCAGCCCATAGAATGAAATGTCTCTCTGTACTTAGCTCCTTCACAGTCAAAAATTTTAAAGAAAACACAATGTACATAATCCAGACTCTCTGTGAATTTTCCATTTTTACGTGGCTTATTTTTCTTTATTTCTTTTAATCTCTTAACTATCTGTACTCTGTGTCTTTAAAGACTTTACCCTTTTTTAAAGACATTTACTTTATTGTCTATATTCTTATTCTTCTCTCTCTCAAGCCTATGTACATTCATCCAACAATGTGATCCACTGAGGTCTGTTATGTGTGAATCTGTTTTATTGTGAATCTGTAATATTTTTACTATCCAGGAGCATTTCTTAAAATGTTAAGCACTTCTTAAAAACTTAAGTTGCACCATGTACAGGTAATACGGTACCACCTGTGTCCTGCCCAGTCTAAACCTTAACTGTGCTGTTATTATGGTAATTACGGTAGTTCCTGCCAACCAGCACAGTTCAGCAAGGAGCAGTGGCTCCTGCCTCAGATCCATTTGGTGCCCCTGAGCTGTGCACAGTTCCATGCACACAGCAAGTCCTCATTGGAGCCACACTCAGTAGTTTAATTTTGAGACTGAGCATGCAGCACAGAAACTCTTTTTATCCAAGTTACAACCAAATCTGACACGCAGAGCATTGCGGAGTCTGAAAACACGTCTCTTCCACCATGCTCTTCCGCCTGCCTAAGCCTGATTCTGCCATCTGCCCAGGTGCAGGCGGGGAGCGCTGAGAGCACTCTCCTTCCGATCCCAAGCAGGAACACAAACATCCAGTCCCATAAAATCCATTGAAATGCTTTAAAGCCAGAGTTTGCACTGGCGGCACAGTCCCAAGAAGCCGCACTTTAAAATGACGCAGCTTTTTTTTCTGTTGCTGTTGCCGAATCAGGAAATCTCTCTACAGCACGCCACCAACAAACAGCAAAAATCTGTGTTAAAGTCTCTCTCCCTTATTTTTAAGGCTTCTCAGGTTTTTAAGTGGATTTAGTCCATCAAGTCGGGCGCCATTCTGTTGTAGTACGGAGCGGCGGGCTGTGTCCCGCCACCCAGCTAGCTTTACCCGAAATAATTACACGGAAACTGTATTCTTTTAAACACTGCCTGACCCATTAGTTTCAGTTTCTTATTGGCTAGCTCTTACATATTGATCTAACCCATTTCTATTAATCTGTGTAGCCCACGAGCTGGCTTACCAGGAAAGATCTTAACCTGCGTCTGTCTGGAGTGGGAGAATCATGGCGACTCACTCATTCAGCTTCTTTCTCCCAGCATTCTATTCTGTTTACTCCGCCTACCTAAGGGTTGGCCTATCAAATGGGTCTAGGCAGTTTCTTTATTAATAAGAAATCACTCCCACATCACTGTTAAATGATGTGGGATTCCCTTCTGTATGCTGCGAATACCATTGTTAATAAAGAAGCTGCTTTGGGCTTATTGCAGCACAGAATAGGGTAAGGAAAAATTTCAAGCAGATAGAAGAGGAAAGAGTAGGCCGAGTCAGGGAGACACCATGTAGCCACCAGAGGAGGCAGACGCTGGATGGAAGGCCACAACTACGTGGCAATACACAGATTAATAGAAATGGGTTAAAAGAGTTAGCCAGAAATATGCTTAAACTATTGGCCAAGCGGTGTTGTAGTTAATACAGTTTCTATGTAATTATTTCGGGTCTGGGCGGCCGGAATGAACAAACAGCCTCTGCCAACAGTGGAATAATTAAATAATCTTTTTCTGTTTCTATAGTTAGTCTTGAGGGATTAAACAATCATTTGGTCTCTCTTTCTGTAGTAATGAAGATCAAATTAATATGACTTGCCCATGACTCTGTCATAACCCATCTCTACATGTTCCCTCAATACATGTTACATAAAGACTTGGCAGTAAGGTAGTGAATGAACATGTGAGCTTTGGCACGAGCTGAACACATGAGCTGTACCAGATAGGGGATCAACACATGCTGAACCCATGTGTTGTGCCACACATGAGCTGATGAAAAAGATAGTAACCTCTCAAATGTCCTGGGTAGTGGGGTGAGACATTTGAACCAAGAGCACTGAGCCAGGAAGATGGTTCAGCGCAAAGTATACTTACTGTGCACAGCTAACAACCTGAGCTTGAATCCCCAGAACCCATGTAAAAGCAGGATGTGGTAACAGACACATCTGTAAACTCAGTGTGCCTCTATGGGAGAAATGGGAAGAAGAGACTGGAGAATCACTGGAAGCTCGTGGGCTAGCTGGGTGTATGCAGCAATAATAACAGGAGCTATCTTATCTCAAGAAAGGTGGAAAATGAGAACGGAGTCTGATGTTGTCTCTGACTTCCACGTGTATGTTGTGGAATGCAAGTGCCTGCACACACACACACACACACACACACACACATCATACACATACACCATGCATACACACATTTCACATACACATGCGCACAAGTGCATAGCATAGTCCTAGAGGTTCGAGTCTGAACAGATGGCATGTGAGTATATATGCTAACAAAATGAAGGTAGCCAAGGATAGTGACTTCCACCCAGGTGTGAAAACATAGCACCCCTCCCAAGCATCTACTCACAACTATGTGTGCTGTGGGGATGTCAGAAAAAGAGTAACAGAGAAAACAGAATGTTCTAGCATGGATCTTAAGAGACTTGGAAATGACGCCATAAAGAGTGTGTGAGCAGAACAGGCAGCATGATGGAAAACGGGAGAGGAGTCTAAGGAGTCTACCTACATAGCAAATGTCCAGAAACTGTTCGATAAATGTGACCAGTCTCCCATCTTTTCATCTCCACTTCCCTCCCTCCCTCTTTCCCTCCATTTCTTCCTTCTGCTTTTCCTCGATAGTTCTGGATGAAGAAAGCAGACAGTCCTTATCAGTGAAGAACTTCACATCGAGTTTCTACCTGGGAGAAGATGACTCAGAGGAGTTCAGTCAGATGAGCCCACGACACCGTAAGGATCTTGGTTCTCCCATTCTAGCCTTTGCTGCTGCCTGCTTTCCAGGGAAGAAATCTGTTTGCATGCATCTGACTTTATACATGAGCCCACTCTGTACTGGGGAGTCCTCACTCTTGTCTACAAACTCCGCACTGGGTCACACCAGCGTCCACAGCAACGATCGTGTTAGACACTTGGAAACTAGCGCTCTGAGGAGAGCTGTGATGCGAATTAGGTTTTACTGCCAGGCAGCAAGTGTCTCAGCTTTACCCTCTCCTCAGTGAAGTCCCTCTCCTTCTAAAAGGATCTAGGGGCCTCTGTGGCGTGAGAACCCTGACATTTATTTAGATAAAAACCATGATGCTTGACTCGAACCCACCTGGGGAAGCATAACTAATTACAAGTGGGGAGAAAGGCTTTTTGTTTGCATCTGTCTCCAAGGTGATGTTTCTCCTGTTTAGGTTCTTATTGTAGCATCTTATCGTCTATGCTGTCTCTCCAAAGCGAAGACCTCAAAAAACTTGACTTAGAACACTTACATTTTACACCCGAAACGATGTAAGTATGCAAGTGAATGACCTTTTAATGGCTTTTCTGTCTCTCTGGCTGGTAACACAGTCTCACCATATCCAGAGTCAAATTCTGATTCTACTTGGCTAATTGTGTGACCTCCCCAATTCAAATGGAATGAAAATAATTACTGGACTCTCCACATAAGCTTGTTCCATTTGTTGCCACTAAACGTGAAAAGTACTTGCACTGTGCTATGTAGTTGATACTCATACTTAAGTGCTGTATGCATTAGCAGTTACTATCATTATAAACACATAACATGTTAGTTATTATTCAGAGGACTTATTTTCTCAGTGTTACTTTTTACATAACCAAAAACTGGTCATGTGATGGAGGAAGGTCATTGGCTAATAAAGGCACTGCCCTGGCCCGTTTAATTGGTTAGAGGATAGGTGGGAGGAGAAAACAGGACAGAACGCTGGGAGGAAGAGGAAGTGAGGTCAGAGACTACACAGCTCTGCTCTCTCGGGAGCAGATGCCTCAGGGAGAGACGCGATGCCCCGCTCCTGGGATGAAGCTCCGACCCAGGATGGACTAGGCTAGAATATTCCCGGTAAGACCGGTTCTCACAGATTATTAGAGATGGGTTGATCGGGATGTGAAAATTAGCCTGTAAGTGCTAGAGCTAAAGGGCCAAGTAGTGCTTAAAAGAATACAGTGTCTGTGTAATTATTTTGGGGCATAAGCTAGCCATGTGGGCGGCCGGGTGTGGGGGACGCAGCCCTGCCGCCCCTATTACTACATATGGCGCCCACGTGGACAACTGCTTCCACATAAAGCCTGAGACAGCTTGGGAAGTAATTCTAGAACAAAATGAAAGCATTGTGCCTGGTTTCTTGGTAGCAGCAATTTCTCGGTTCTACTCTGCTTGCTAGAGGCAAGCAAGCACCTCATCTAAGAGAGGCTTCCTGACTCAGCATTAGCTGCAAAGCCTGCAGCTCATTAAGAGGTCCTGCCACGAAACACTTAAAAGGTGTTGACGAAAAGCTGAACACATGCTTTTCGGTTTTCAGCCATAGCAGGAAAAAAGCTGCGCCGTTTAAAAATGCTGGCTTTCTGGGCCATCCTGCCAGGGCAAACTCTGACTGTTTGAGGCAGGAGGGCCGGCTACCGAGAGAGGACTTGAGTGTTGTCTGTTGTAGCTCACTTGCTGGCAGGGACCTTGAAATGCCATACAGTTGTTGCAGTAAACATGGCTACAGCCTGTATATCCGCCATGAGGCTGGAAAGCTAAGGAATGGACTGGATCTAGCTGGCAAAGCCACGCCTTTAGTCCTACTGATATTGCTTGGTAAATTAAAGACTCATGTGGTCAGAAAAAGAGAGATATACAGTAAAGAGAGATTCAGAGACAAAGAAAATTTTTAAATGGTTTACAGTGTGTTAAAAATATACGCAGACTAGAAGTTGAAGTTCTTAAAGTAAAAAACAAAAAAAGGAAGAGAGTTGTTGTGTGTGGTAGCACACGCCTTTAATCCCAGTGCCTAGAAGGCAGAGACAAACAGATCTCTGTGAGTTCAAGGTGTAGTAGTGTACACCTTTAATTCCGAATGCCTGGGAGGCAGAGACAGGCGGATCTCTGAGAGTTCAAAGACAGCCTGGTCTACAGAGTTACTTCAGGTCAAAGATACAGAGAACCTGTCTCAAAAAGCAAAAAGTTAAAAGTAAAAATAAATGAAATAGAGGTTAAAATAAAACGAACAAAGATGGAAAATACACAGAGAATCTTGATACTGTATGCTATTATGCTCTCTTTGAATTATTTAAACGCTGAGGAAGGAGCAACAGATGCTAAAAGATATTTATTTATAAATACTGCTGAACTAATCCAACATAGATATTTTCAATTTGGATCTAAGGACATGATACTTTGGAAAGGAGTTTCTTATTTTGTTTTCACAGAGGATGAGACGCTGTTCATTTCTTCTACTCCGATTTGGTATGATGGACCACGCCCTCCTGAAGGGTTGGTGTGAACACCTTCAGAAAATTGCTTCGCTCAACTGCCAACTGAGATGAAACTAGCACACAGGTTATACCATGAAAGACCTAATTAACGACGCCCCCATTCAGCAGGAAGCAGTTTGGAGAGAAAAAACTGCGCCCATGTTCCCAAATATGGTTTATAAACGTTCTTTTACATTTAAAGGGGGATATGATATAGATATGAATAATTTGCATTAGTATAGATTTTGCTTTATTGATAGAGATTTAAGGTCAATTTTGTTATATGTATAAGTGTTTCTGATTTTGATTAAGGTATTGTGATTGTGTAGTTCATTTAAATATGTACTGTATAATTAAGAAATATAGGTTGTTAATGGATAATCATCGATAATAGTAAAGCTTGTAGTCATGTTAGTTAGATTTTTCTAGATATATAGAGATGTATTTCAGTTAGATAGACATTCTTCATGTCTTTCAAAGATTACAGAATAGGACATTTAATGTTTTAATAACTGAGGACTTTTCATGACAATGAGACACTCTGCTCCTGGCAGCACCAATCTACTTCAAGAGGAAGATGGGCATCGAAGAGGCTCGTTATGGAGTTTGATAGCCATTTGGGCAAGAAACTGCTCTTGCCTGGACTATTGCATAAACTGGACACAGAGAACCCGCAGAGAGAGGACTACTGAACTTGCCTAAGGTGAGATGATCTTTCGGGGTTCCTGATTCATTTTGAAAGAGTCTGCCAGACATTCTGCAGGACACAACAGATAGTGACTGAACTGACTTTGAATTTTCCTGCTTTATGGAAATGTCTGCTGGATACCATGGGCCTGAAGGCTGAAGATGGATGTCCCAACGGTACAAAAGAACTTTGGGTGACTGTCCAGGCAGCGAGATGTCTTTGTCATTTCTAGAGTTTGAAGTTTCTTAGTTCTTGTTTACTTAGGTAATATTATATCTTTCTGGAGTCTTTGATGGAGTTAAGAATAGTTAGTTATAGTTATAGTTTTCCTTAGTTATGATAAAGATTATTGTAACTTTTACTTGATAACTGTTTTGTTATATGTAATTTTGCTATGTTAAAGTTAAAGCCTTTTTTTTTTTGTTTAAACCGAAAAAGGGGAAATGATGGAGGAAGGTCATTGGCTAATAAAGGCACTGCCCTGGCCCGTTTAATTGGTTAGAGGATAGGTGGGAGGAGAAAACAGGACAGAACGCTGGGAGGAAGAGGAAGTGAGGTCAGAGACTACACAGCTCTGCTCTCTCGGGAGCAGATGCCTCAGGGAGAGACGCGATGCCCCGCTCCTGGGATGAAGCTCCGACCCAGGATGGACTAGGCTAGAATATTCCCGGTAAGACCGGTTCTCACAGATTATTAGAGATGGGTTGATCGGGATGTGAAAATTAGCCTGTAAGTGCTAGAGCTAAAGGGCCAAGTAGTGCTTAAAAGAATACAGTGTCTGTGTAATTATTTTGGGGCATAAGCTAGCCATGTGGGCGGCCGGGTGTGGGGGACGCAGCCCTGCCGCCTCTTATTACTACAGTCATGTAGGGGACTGGATCGAAAATCCAAGGACACTTATTCCCCCAGTCCTACCTCTCCAACAGAGCCCAGCAGCCAAATTCTACCACACTTAGATCACTGGGGTGGGATATTAGGGAAAACCTAATTTCTCACTGTGGTCAAGCGAGGTGAAACTGATGTACGTTTCGTGATTCCTTTAAATCCCCCTATGCTTGAACAGCCAAACTGTACCCTTTTCAGTTTCTCAAAAGAAGGACACACACAGCAAACGTTCCTTAAATAGTTTATTTACGAAAACAATTCTATCCCGGTGTCTGACAGTCCCCTCCCCAAATCCTTCATCTCATCACTCATGTTTAAGGGCTCATGGGTCTGCCTTGTGGGTTGGGATAAGCAGTGCACTGGCCAATGTGTAACACCGGCTGTGCAAAAGGACTGACTGATTTATTCCTGGTGTAAGCCCTCCCACCATGGCCTTGTCCAAGCAACAGAGATGTCTTTGAGTGCAAAATTGGGAATAAGTATGCACAGTTTTCATGGGATGATGCCAACTTGTTCTAGAATATTCTAGTGCTGCTATTGACACCCTAGATGAATACAAGAGACTGGAAACTGCCTGTTTCACTGTTGCTGTCCCTCCTTTACCAGACTTTTCTCTCGAATGTGAGACATTTTCTGCTGGGAAAGTGCCACAGCGGAGTCAGGCATCCCTGAGAATAGTCACGTAGACTAATGTATACTCATCAAAATACATTCGCAACTAAGACACACAAAAAATAGTTATGGGAATGTGGAAAAACAGGACTCATATCTGAGGGCTACAAGTGTAAATAAGATTGCAAATTTTGCTTCCTTAATGTGAGCCATATCCCTCTAAAGCTTCCAGACTAAGAGACATTCTCCAGTTCTGGGACATGTCCCAGTTCTAAGGGGTGTTCTCCCTTAGAACTAACAAGTTACTCTTGAACACAGAAAGACTCCCTATATACTTTTCATGAACTGTATGGCTTGTACCCAGTGGAGGAGGCCTTCCCTTGGTGGTGATATTTTGTCATGCAGATGAAGTCTGATGTCTGTAGCCGTAGTATTTCTTTCCTGTTTTAGTATCTGCCTTCTTCCCTGTCCAATTTCAGACGCTTCAAAGAAAAGTGTGTCATGAACAACTACTTCGGAATTGGACTAGACGCAAAAATTTCTCTGGAGTTCAATACCAAAAGAGATGAACACCCAGGAGAATACAAGTAAGGGGAAGAGACTCAGCTCTCTGTATAAATACATACAATCATGATACAATATGTATTCCTACATCAAACAAGCAATGAAAAGCCTGAGGTCCTTGGGAAATAAATGTGTTGGTCTCAAGACTACCCTAGTGCAGACAGTGTATCCTGAAGGCTGGGTTGCTCTGTGATAATCACCCTGCCATCATACATCTGTACTTCCATTCAATAGTTCACCCATGTAGATTTCTCTGTAAATATAGCTACCTCTATTACTGTTGTTGAGAATAGATTGCATTGAACTTTATGGTGTTTCTAAAAGATTAACTGAGTCCTTGTAGGGGGCTCCAGATCTATTTTTACTTGACAGGGCTTCAAAGTATCTAAGATACTTCTATTGCTTCTTGGTATTCCAGATTGGGTCCTGTGGACCCACTGATTAGTATTGCCCTACCTGGCACCTTCTGGTAGTTTTATCCTACAGATATCCCTTAAAGCAGCTTCACAGTTCTTATAAATGTGTAAGTTAAAAGGACTACCCCAAGCTTGCATGGGACTGGCCTAGCCCCTCTGCATAGATATCTGAATAGAAACAAAGAAGTGAATGAGGGGTAGAGGGGAGGCGGGAGTGGGAAGAGAGGAGAGAGGGAAAACTGGTTGGGATATAAAAACAAACAAACAAGTAAATATTTTTAAAAAGGACCATCCCACCCCTGCCACTGCCGCTGCCACTAGAATCTCTTTCTCAGAAAAAGCCTGGGATGTGAACAAAGTATGTTACCAGATATGTGATTTACCAAGGTGGCTCTTACAAAAGAAAGCATTTAATTGGGGCCTTGCTTACAGTTTCAGAATTTTAGTTCATTATCATCCTGGCAGGGAGCATGGTGCTGAAGAAGTAGCTGAGAGTTCCGTATCCTGATCCACAGGCCAAACGAAAGAGAGAAACACTGGGCTGGGTGTGGGTTTTTGAAAACATCAAAGCCTACCTACCCCCCCCCCACCGTGATACACTTCTTCCAACAAGGCCACATCTCCTCCAACAAGGCCACACCTGCTAATCTTTCTAAACCTATCAAAGTGTTCCACCCCCATCCCTAAGCATTCAAATATATGAGCCTATGGGTGGCATTCCTAGTCAAACCACTGTAGACACCTCATTTATGAAAGTATCATAATTTTTCAAAAAGTTACCATTTTCCCAATCAATTGTGTTACCTATACATACATTAGAACATGGGCAACCTACCAGAGAGGATGAAAAAAGTGAAGTGTATCCCAGAAGAATTGGTTGGAGAGGAGAATAAAGGGTGACTATAATAGAAATACATTGGTGCATGCATGAATTTCTCAAAGAATACATTTAAAGTATAATTTAAAAAACAAAAGGCACTTAAAAAATATGATGTTTTCCCTTCCTGTCTTTCCCTACCCACTAACCTATCTATCATCCACCTTCTGACTGTCTTTTTCTACTCCTCTCTCTGTAGTAGCCGCATTAAGAACAAATTATGGTATGGTATTCTGGGAAGCAAGGAACTGCTGCAGCGCTCTTACAGGAAGCTGGAAGAACGAATACAGCTGGAGGTTAGTAGAAAAGGGCCTGTTTCCTGGGCACGGAGAAAGAAAATCATGTGACCTCAGAAATCACCTTTCCACTATATCTTTAGTTCTTCTCAAATTAAACTCTGGGAGCCTCACAGACAGCCATGGCAACAAGGCATGAGGTTTTATTTCTGTCGTAGATAAGAAAATGATAGTATGGAGAGAAGCCCAAGCTCCTCGTCATCTCTGTAAAGGATCATTGTGCTGGTATCTGAAAAGTCAGACCGTAAGAGCAACTCTTCTCTTTCAGTGTGACGGAGAACCCATCTCCTTGCCAAACCTTCAAGGCATTGTAGTGCTCAATATTACCAGCTACGCTGGAGGTGTCAACTTCTGGGGAAGCACCACAGCAACCGCGGTGAGTGTGCGATGAGGAACGGGTGGGAAGGAGACATGACTCTCCTAAGTTGTCTCAGAAAGGATTACTGGACTGTCTAGAATGCACTTAGACAGTGGGGGAAGATGAGATAGGCTTTGAGTCCGTATTAGCAGTGTCTGTAGGTTCAGCTTTTTAAAACAGTTGCCATTCCAGAGCACGAGAATCAACCACGAACCTCAGAATTATGTCACATGATTCCTGGGTTTTGACTTTCCCTTTACTAAGGCCCAAAAGACACTCAGAAGATTACCCTCAGAGGCCATGTTCTTCATCCCTTAATGTCAGTAAAAACATCTCCTGGGAAGCGAGCCATGAGCTCTTTGCTCTGAGTTCATCTTAGAAGTTCAGGAAACTGACAGGAGTGGCCTTGGGGATTCATGATGCTGGACTGGACAGGGAAGGAATTGGCTAATTTGTGATCTCCACAGGAGCTCACATGTATTGCAAGCACAATTCCTGTTTCCAACCTTGCCTTCCTCACGTTATTTTTCCCCTTTAATATAGTTTTCTCACTTCTTCTTGTACTAGATATACTAGACAAAGTTTTACCAGTAGTCCTCAAAGCACATTTATTTATTATAGACAAAGTATGGATTCTTGGGAGAATTGTGACAGGATTCTTCCTCCCTAGGAATACGAGGCCCCTGCGATGGACGACGGGAAGCTAGAGGTGGTGGCAATCTATGGTTCTATGCAGATGGCCATGTCTCGTCTCGTCAACATGAATCATCATCGAATCACTCAGGTAAGTGAGGGTTGGGCGGATGAAAAGGGGAGGAAATGTCTCTCTTCAGCCCAAGGATGTGCGGCGAGCCTAGCAATCACCTGGTTGTAGGAGTTCCTGGGGAGTGGAAGTAGGCAATCTGTTAGACAGTTAGGTGGTGAAGATAGAGGTGGCAGGGACCAAAAGCACAAAAGGCTCATAGGTAGTACATGATCCACCTCCATGGAATGATCTGATTCATATATTCTGCCAGTGTCTCTTCAAATACACACTCACACTGTGACCAATACCAGATTAGCCCACAGTACTTTCCTCATTTTTTCCTTTTTGTCCTCTCTCTCCTTTTCTGGTAGTGCCATGAGGTGATGATAACTATTTTTGGTGAAGAAGGTATCCCTGTGCAGGTGGATGGGGAAGCCTGGATTCAGAAGCCAGGCATTATCAAGATTAATACAAGAATTCTGCCCAGATGTTGATGAGAGATCGGGTAAGCGAAAAGTTCTACTTGAGCACCTACGTTGCCTCCTCCACAGCTACCACATTTCTAGTCAAGAATTTCCCAAAGGGAGCTCTGTGTGCCTTCCTTATCAGGCACCTTGAGTGACAGAAGTGCATACTCCTAGGTCCCACACCAAACTCTCTGAACTGAATGGAAAGAGGTGACTCCTAAGAGCTAGCATTTATAAACAAGCTCCCTGAGACATTTTTACTAATGTAAAAAGTTGCAAGACACTGTCTGTCTCTCAACAAGGTTGTCCTTGTTGTCCTGCACTGCGCAGAAAACTAAAGACCCATGGTGGTGGAGAACGCTACTCTCTCAATAACAGTTCCTTCATTGAATATGTTCTCTTTGGGCTTCATAAGATTCCTTAATATTGCATTTACAGATGTCACCCATTTCTTCTAAATAAAAAACTACAGTGATAGCAAATATATCATTATTGGTCACTTGTTCAAACTTTGGGGTTATCTTTTGAATTGTGAACATAAATATATCAGTAGGAGGGAGGGAATACCTACCTAATAAAATGCCAATATGGTGCTGGGCACATTGCATCTATTGTCTGACATAGTTCTTCCCAAAACCCCTATAAGGAAGATAAAATTCCTTCCATGTTGAGAGCTTAAATACCTTAAGCATAGTCACATATCTAGTAAATAAAAACAATAGGATTGAAAAATAAATTTTGTATTTCTGAATCTAAATCCCATCACAACATAATATATACCTTTGGAAAAGAATGAAACCGAAAAGGTGTTCTTCTGTCTTATCCATCACCATGTTCTCATAACTTCTAGAAGGCAAATATTTTGCTTCATTCAGGACTGGTGTCCCATGAGCCAGTGTACTAACAATAAAAACTAAACTGCCTTACAAAGAAGATACACTGACTAAAAAGACAAGAAGATGTATAAATAGGTGTGGAAGGTGAATGGATAGGGATGTCTTCACTTCTCTTTCCCACCTATGTATACCCCATGATACCTACAGAATGTCATACTCATTGACAAATCTGCCACATGTCCTCAAAGCTACAACAATCATTACGATTTGCCTTTACGTTCGTCTCTAGGACTTTGAGAACTCAATGAAAACGTGGGAATGTAAGCATTCTGAAATCCGAGCTATCCCACCACCCCACCTGGACTTCCAGGAATCTCAAGATAGCCTCTCTGATAGCGAGTATGCTCAGATGCAGCACTTGGCTCGGCATGCAGAAAACCTCATTAGCAGGTAAGAGAACTAAGCTTAAAACAGGGTTGGGAAACCTAAACATGGATAGGGAGACACAGTCAGTTGGTGTCTATTGACTACTTGGGCGCTTAGCCTCAGAAAGAAATCTAAGTGTTTACAATTAGGGCCCTGACAGGCTGTGCAAGAAGTATTCTTTGTGATTAACAATAAGGCAGTGTTCACACTCCACATTCAAGCCAGAGGTGAATTTTTATTTCCTTCTGCTTTCCAAGACCCAGCAGGAATAAGGATGTTTCTTCTGGGCCAGTAAAATGGTTCTCATCAAGCCTGGCCATCTATGTTTGATCCTTAGGGTCCCACATGATAGAAACAGAGATAGAGCCAACTCCTGCAACTTACACACACAGAGACACACACAGACACACACTGGCATGTATGTGCAAATATACACAAACAAACAAAAGTTTGCTCTTGCCCTTAACTATCAGAAAGACCTTGAAGTTTCAGCAAGAGTCAGACACGCTCCTCTATTTTAATTTCTCACTCTAATCAATCTAGCACTCTCTAAATCCAAGTTAAACAAACAGGAACAAAGGTGACTTCTTAGAGAAGATTAGCAACATTTCCTTCAGCGGATACCTAATGAAGAACAGAAATAGCAAGAGGGAAGAAAGAGTTCAAATCCAGTACCCAGGGTTTTTGTTTCAATTCTTATCCCAATCTGCCAGCTCCTCACACCATAAATCCATAGCGACAAGCTCATCTGCTTTTGCTCTCTTACAGACTTACTGACCTGAGCAAGGTCCACCAGCATGTGTCTGTCCTCATGGATTCTGTGAATGCCAGTGCTAACATCCTGAACGATGTCTTCTATAGCCATGACAGTGCCAATGAGGCGGGTGCAGCTTCCTGTATTCCCATTGAGGTAAGGAGGGAAAAGAAGCGAATGAATTAAAGAAGCCAAACTTTAAAGGAAAAGGGGTTAAAAGGAAAGTGAAACAAAATTAAATGATATTAAATGAGGAACATATGCAAGTGATAGGGTAGAAAACTGATGGGTAAAGTAGATAGGGATTGGGACTGTGGATTCCTAGATGAAGTGCTTGCCATGCAAGGATGAAGAGCTGAATTATACCACCAAGCGCCCACATTAACAGTCAGGCATGGGAGTGTGCATCTTAATCCCTCTACCTGAAGCAGAGACGGAAGGGTCTTGGAGGCTCCCTAGCCAGTCAGTCTAGTCATATCAGTGAGTTCCAGCCCCAGGAGCAGACCCTGTCTCAAAAATGTAAGGTGGACGGTAATTGAGAAACACATCTCACACCCATCTCTGGCTTTTACCGGAACACACACAGACACACACACACACACACACACACACACACACACACACACACATGCACATACACATGTAACCACACAGAAATTGAAAATAAAGTGATATGCTGGATAAGAATGCGGGCAGTCCTTGGATTGTTCCAAGGCCAAGGTGGCTGCTGGGGAAATGCCATGACAAATTTTATCATTTTGAGAAACAGTATTGTTCCTGGTAGCTAGCCCCAACATCAGACTCAAAGTGGTATAGTTAATAAATGGAAAGAAGAGTAGTCTTGGACCTTCCTAATGCCAGTTGACTCCCTGTATAATCATCTAAGGTTATACCTATCATCGGAACCCGAGATCCAAGATGCTTTTAATTCCCTTTTCACAGGTCCAGATTAGACATTTACTATTAAATGTGCCATCCCATGCCAATACTCACTGCCATAAGATTTGGGTGCTTCTTTTAAAATGTAACTTTAGGTTTGGAGATGTACCTTAGTGACAGAGAATAATAACCTTGAATATGGTCCTTGGTATATGTAAATATATACATGCACACAGAGACACACAGGCACACACACACACACACACATACACACAGGAGGGGCAGGGAAGGAAGGGGGGGAAAGGATGGAGAGAGACGTAGGGAGATGGAGGGAGAGAAGGGAGATGAAGAAGATGAGTAGAACTTCATTAATAAGTAAAAATACAATAGGATCAGGATGTGTTCAAATATGAGTTAACTTTATTTTAGGCCAGGTCCTAGTCAAAGGAGGTCCAAAGGCCGTGAGTTTCAAGAAGAAATGTGTATGGTTAGATTTATTTCTGTGTGCCATGGGAAAGGCACTTTTAACCTAGGGACAAGTCTCCTGATTTGCAAATTTCCCTCTGGTTTGCAAATTCCCTATTTTCCTGTTGCCCACTGCACACAATCAGTGATGCCCACTTTGCAGGGCACAGCAATAGAGCTACATTGTTGACAGTTGACCATTGACAGCTGGGGTCAGTTCGGATTGGTTGGTGCTCATGCTGGGCCAGCCGTGCTGAATTTTTAATATGATGTTTCCACCTCCAGGCGTGTCCTGCTGGTCTGCTCCTACCTTCCCATGGAGAAGCCAGCTGCATGCTCACTAACCGGCTCCTTTCTATCTTGTCCTTTCCCTTCCACTCCTTTTCCTCTCTTCTCCTCTCAGACTCTAAGCAGAAATGATGCAGTGGATGTTGTATTTGGTCTTAAAGGGCTCTACGATGACACCAAAGCTTTCCTGGATGAAAACTTGGTGAGTGCAGGGGGCTGGAGCATGGGAGGGAAAACATCTCTTTTGAATATGGCCACATTCTATATTGGTTTCCATGATGCTAGAGGCTTATGATCATTGTAAGTAGGTGCTTGCCTGGTGATTCCAGTCATCCTGGTTGTGATTGCTGTCATCCAGTATTTGTTACCTGAATGCGCTACTGTTTGTGTTATGTCAACCCATGGGGACTACCATATTTTAGATGAAATCGGTCAGTGTCTCCTGGGGAAAGACTAGGCCCACCAGATTCAGGGTGCTCTCATTCTACCTGATAAAGCTTCAAGTGAGAAGGGTGAGCTCAGAGATGCTCTTCTCTCAGGTCTGTAAGTGTCACCTTCTCCATGGAGACAGTAGCAGGAAGTAGGGAAAGTTCTGAGGGCTCTGAGCTCAAATACAAATTAGCTACCTACCGTATTATCTCCCTAAGGCTGCTATGGGTAAGTACCAAGTACTATATGACTTTAAATAACAGAATCTTACTATCTCATCATTCTGAAAACTCCAACATTCAAACCCAAATTGTAAGCAGGCTCATGATCCCTCTAAAAGCCCTAGAGGAAAAACTTTCTTTGCTTTTTCTTAGCTCTGGCCATTTGTTTCTGGCAATCATTGTTGATCCTTACCTTATAAATACTCCACTCTTGTCTTGTTTTCCATCTGCAATGTCTCTGTCTTCACATGGCCATATTCTGCCAGGGTCACTGATAGTGATGGACTAAGGCCTGCCCTGTCTAGTATGACCTCAAATTAATAGTGAGTTATAAATTCAATGACTATCATTTCATATTAAGTGTGCATTCTGAAGTAGTAGAGAATAGGATTTTAATGTATCTCTTGAAAAGAACACAACACAACCCACAACATTAGCAGTGTAGCTATACCTCTTTGCATTCGTTTCCCCTATCTCCAAGATAGGAATTAGAACCCCTACCTTTACAGTTTGTTTAGAGGATTTATATAAACAACAAAGTATTGTAACTTAAGTGCCTACCAGTACTCGGTACATAACTGTGGCTCAAAAGATGGACTGGGGGTATGAACTGACTCTGAGGATGGCATTAGCTGCATGTTTCTCATAATGTTATGTTCATGCCCGGGCACAATGGGATGGTACTCTGATAAAATCCACTGCTCATAACTGTCTCACTTTGATGTTGTC